TGTCTAGTGATATTTGCTGGGGTGTACGCTTTAATGTGATATACCAAAATTCAATCCTTGCTCCACAAGTTTCCAGAAAAATCAAGTCTATTACTTATCTGAAAGGCTCAACTGAGGAAATGGTGTATGTTTTCTGACATCTCTTTATTTTTGTTCTTGGAAGCAGTGGAGTGAGGAGGGAGGGAGGCAATGGCAAATCACTTCCTCCAAAGTAGTTTGCCATTGCCTTTCTTTCCCTTTTATTTTTCTACTGAGAAGCAGGAGTAGGAAGGAAAGTCCCTGATTGTTTCTTCCTGCTCACATTTGCCACTGCTGCTTCTTCTTGGTGGGGATGAGGAGCAGGGCCTTCTCGGTGGTGGCCCCTCACCTATGGAATTCACTTCCCAGGGAAATTAGGTCATCGACATCCCTCCTCTCTTTTAGAAGGAAATTAAAAACATGAATTTGGGACCAGGCTTTTGGGTAATCTGCTAGATGGACAAAGGACAAGCGACAACTAGAATCGATGGATCTGACAATGTGGAATTGAATTTATGGGCTCTGAACTGCCAAACGTTGAGCACTAGATTGGTTTTATTGATTGTGATGTATAATGGATTGTTTTAACTTTTTAATTACTGTTTATATATGTTTTATTTTTATCTTATTGTTGTGCTGGCATCGAATTGTGCCTTTTGTAAGCCGCCCTGAGTCCCCCCTCGGGGGTTGAGAAGGACGGGGTAGAAGTGTGAGAAATAAATAAATTTTTGGTCAAAAAATTTCCAGTAGAGCCCTGCAGAGGAAGTTGCTTGTTCAGAATAAAGTGCCCAGCCATGAGATCAAGAATGAACTAGTAGATCAGGTTTCTCACTATTGACCTCATGGCCAAGAGGCTTGTTCTGATATTGAAGCCCCCTTCCAGACAGCTGAATAAAATCCACATTGAACTGGATGATATGGCAGTGTGGCTTCAGATAAACCAGTTCAAAGCAGACATTGTGGATTTTCTGCCTTGATATTCTGGGTTATATGGCTGTGTGGAAGGGCCCTATGCAAGCAACTACCCCAGCAAAGCTCTGCTGGGAATATAGCACCAGGCAAATCACTTTGGGAGAGAAAAACAAATAAAAATGGTGCTGATTCAAATTCGGAGTGTGGACAGCAGTATAGTTTCAGTGTGGTATATTACAGCTAAGGGCCCTTCCACACAGCCCTATATCCCAGAACATCCCACAATATCTGCTTTGAGCGTGATTATCTGAGTCCACACTGCCATATATTCTAGTTCAAAGCAGATAATGTGGGATTTTCCACCTTGATATTCTGGGATATAAGGCTATGTGGAAGGATCGTTGGCACCTTCCACACAGCTGAATAAAATGTCACATTTTCTAATTTGAACTGGAATATATGGCAGTGTGGACTCAGATAACATAGTTCAAAGCAGATATTGTGGGGTTTTGTGCCTTGATATTCTGGGTTATATGGCTATGTGGAAGGGCCCATAATGTGGCTGTGCCAAGATGAATCCAGAGCAGCTCTAAACCTAATTAATCTGGATTCTTTGGGTGGTATAAAGTAGCTCACAGTCCTCCTTAAACAATCAGATGCTAAGTGACATAGGAGGCACTCACTCTGTTAAATAATAATAATTTTTAAAAAAACTTTATTTATATACTGCTCTATCTCCCCGAGGGGGACTCAGGGCAGTTTCCAAGTAACATCACCAAAACATACAGAGTAAACAGCATAACATAAAATTAACAAAACAACATAAGCATAAAATTATCACAATAACACATATATATTTAAAAAAATACTCCTGCCTGTTCAGAGCAATTAAAAGGCCAGACCGAGGCTAGTGCAAACTCAAAATATGAGGGGACAGGGAATTAAGTACAGTGCTATGACAGGCTAACAGCAATAGCAGGTACGGGTCTGTGGCTGCTCATTTCCAGGGCCTATTAGAGGGATGACCAGGGTAATAGGTAGGATGTATAAGACCATATTCAACAATGTTTGGGGCTGAACTAGAACTGGACATTCTCAAGGGCTTGTTGAAACCACCAAGCTCTTATGAAAGGAGGGGAGGGATGGGGCCAGTCTTATTTCCCCTTGGAAGGGCATCTCAGAGGCAGGGGGCCACCACCGAGAAGGTCCTCTCTCTCCTCCCCACCAACCGTACTTCTTTTCTTTTCCCCAAGTGGTGGGAAATTCAAGAAATCTTCCCATAGTGTTATATTCTTTTTGCAGAAGTGAGAACTGGAAATTCGTGGTGTATTCTAAAGTGTATCCTCTGTTTACCTTAAACACATCCTCTGTTTACTTTAAATGCGTACAGGCTGAGAAGAAACAGTATGCCTACCTACAGCAAGCACAGATAGCTCTACCCCAAGGGCAGAGTCAAAATCACAGATTGATTCGTGAACCACTGGCACTCCATATAAATTAGTAATAAGGAATCCACATTCAGACTGTGCAGTGTGCAATTAATTGCCTGAATAACGACCTGCCAGGACTGCAGTAAAAATTCTTTTTTAAGCATTCCATATTGTTGGAAAAGATGAGAATAACAAAGAAAATAATATTTTCAAAGAAGGAAGAACAACCCAAGCCTAGGCTGAAATACATCCTCCCCAATCATAAATCAAGGTACCCGTTACCAAAGCCAACATGTTCCTTTCAGAACCCAAGGCGAAAAATCCCACAAGAGTTTTTCTCATTCTCAAGTAATAAAATTTCATAATTAATGCATTACATTGGTAACATTTTGCAACCTTTATCATTGCATCCCAAGGCTGATGCCCGAGGCAGTCTGTCTCATTCTAGCTAATGATCAGGTTGGCAAAAACTGTCTAATCCAAGCAGAAGCAGCTACAGCGACCTTACTTTCACCCACACCCTGCCTTGAAATATAAAATCGTGGAGTTGGAAATGGTTTTCTTTGGATTACAATCTCACTGACTGAAGGATTCTGGAAGTTATAGTCCCCACCACCAAGAACATGAGAGCAAGAACATTTAGAACGGTAGTATTAGAATGCACAAACTGTAACCCAACAGGAAACTGAGCTTCAAATCAGGAAATCCCTAGTTTGAACCTTGCCTACAGGTTCCATTTTTTTCTATTTTTCAGGGCAAAAAGTATGTACTTCTATGTTTTCCTCATTAGTTAGATTTTGCAATTTTGTATTTGAATTCTATACTCTTTGTCATTACGAGGAACTGCCTCTAATAAAACTAACTTTGTAGCATAAACACAGCACACCTCCTATGACATCAGATTTTAGCCCTGAAATGTCAGGACCTGGAATCGTCCTGATATGCTAACACTATGCTTGCTTCTGCCATGAACTCATTAAATGGCCTTTATGGACAAGTCATAATACAAGAATGAAGAAATCTTACTGCATGCAACAGTGCAGTTAAAGATATCTTGTCTCCAACTCAAGTATCTAATATGTAAGTCCAGGGACATTAGGCAGGAAAATCTAGCAATGTTTCTCCTCATTTCTAGCAGAGAAAATGCAATAATAGAAAATTAAATAACTAAACATTTGGAACCCTTTTGCCTAATGATAGCGTGAAGGGAGCACTGAGCAGAAATAGCTGAGGGCAGCCCAGAGTGCCATAAATGGGAGCTGCTGATGGACAGTATGTTACAAAAATAGAGGTATCTCTCTGGGAGAGCCAGACAATTATTTATTATTATTTATTTCAAACATTTTTACCCTGCCCTTCTCAACCCCTGGGGGCGGGGGGAGCTCAGGGCGGCTTACATCCAGCACAATTCGATGCCATTACATATAAATAATACATACTGTATTGCATGCAGTAAACTGATTTCAAAATTAGTTTTAAAATAAAAAGTACAGTAATGAAGGCAAGGTTTTGAGTTGAGACAGTTAGGGTTTGGCTTTGACAGAGACAGCATGTGGATTTGACAGAGGAGGAAACAGTTGACAAAGGACTTCATCAGGCGTCCCTCCCCCTGAACCATTTTGCCAGCAATTGCCAGAGAAATGTCAGAGGCGTGGGGCACCTCATGGCATGCCACGCACCCTCCCTCCTTCCCCCAGCAGATGGGGAAATGGGACAAGGCTCTCTATCCCCATTAGATGGGGGAAAGTGTTGCAATACATGTTGCCCTTTCACCATCAGATGGGGGAACAAGCAAAAAAAATGCAGGTAGCTCTGCCAGAGCTACTGAAAATGCAACTCACCTTGTATTGGTGGCAAGGAAGCGTCTTGCAAAATGTTCCCAACTGAGACCTCTAGAACAGTGGTTCTCAACCTGGGGTCCCCAGATGTTTTTGGCCTACAACTCCCAGAAATCCCAGCCAGTTTACCAGCTGTTAGGATTTCTGGGAGTTGAAGGCCAAAAACATCTGGGGACCCCAGGTTGAGAACCACTGCTCTAGAAGAACTCACTGGAAGATGTTTTGAGTATGAATCTTACTATGGGAACATAGCCAGACATTTGTCTGATCCCCTCTACTCTCTATCAACCACAGGAGTGATTTTGCAGCAACATGTTGTGTCCTGGAGTCATATTGGAATTTTTCATACAAAAGAACTTGGCAATTCTATGCTAAATGCAAGATATGTAGTTGAGAAAGATCTTGTTCTGGGACAAACATATATTTCACGGTGAAGAAACAATTATTGTAGTAAGGGGTCATAATCTCATTTGGCCTGCACAACTGTAGTCCAAAAATTAACATTTACATAAAGGCACCAGGGTGTTGTAGGGATAACATGGGAATGTATGTGAGGTCAAGTATTTGAAAGTTAAGGTATTGAGTATACTAAGCTATCATCAGTCCAAACCAGCATGGTCAGGTCTTAAAATTATAAGAACTATAGTGGTGCCAAATGAGGAAATCCTTTGATATCTCCAAAAAGTCATGTCACATTTTTCAAAACATTTTTTTCCTCTAGTTATAAGTGTTTAACTGGAGCTGTATGCCCATATATCCTTGCCACTTTGTTATAACCTTTCTCTTCCCTTTGATTTTTCAGGATCACAACCACAGCTGCCTGTATGATGGATTTACGTAGGTACCCTCTGGATGAACAGAACTGCACGCTGGAAATAGAAAGCTGTAAGTTGTCTTCCTGTTTTCCATGCCATAGGTAAAAGTACTACTACTATTAATAACAACAACAACAACAACAACAACAACAACATTTTTATACCCCGCTACCATCTCCCCAAAGGGACTTGGGGCGGCTTACTAATGTCCATAAAAACATAAAAGCAAAGCAATCCAAAAAAATCATATTAAAATAGGAACATTATAAAATACAAGAACCAAAATAAAAACACAGTAAACATGACAATATAGAACAGACTGCAACTGGAGCTCCTATCAAACTATATTCAACATAAACCAATAACCAGATTTCCAAGATGGACCTGGCCAAGATATATAAGGGCTGGGTAGGGGTAGTGCAAATAGCAAACCATAGGGCTAGGGCAGTGGATGAAATGCAAAACAGAGTATTTCTAACTGCCCAGGGACTGAGCATGTATGGCTAATATAAGCAAATGTGCTCTGAAACCAAATGCACCATGGAAGAAGAATACAGCAAAGTTCAGATGTAGCATACAATGAGCCCTAACCAATTTGCCTATATTATCACTTGCTTTCCTTGAGATATTTCCTAAAGCTTATCGTATATGTTTTAGGCTACATCTACTATTAACCTCTTTTTAAAAAACTGCAAAGGTCATTTGCCTCTTAAACATATCTTTAACATTGGGCCATAAATAGACATTCCTACTATCAAGCTGCTTCTAAAACAATTACTGTTCATGAAAGACTTTTCCATAATCCATTATATCTTTCTACCATACAATTGCAACTGGGTCTATATTATTTACCATGATTAGGGCAGGATGAAAATAAATACATTATAGATGATCACCAGAACCCTATATCAACTTTTGCTCAGTGTAATTGTACATATACTTTGTTAAGTGGCAATAGTGCTAAAAAAAAAAACACTTGTTAATGAACTGTGTTAACACATATTGGGACAATAGCAAACATGCCCAATACACATTGGTGCCCGATGCACATGGGGGCAGGTGCGTATTGGGCATTGATCCCAATGAACAGTGGATAGTGGTCACTTTTGGAAGAGTGAATATACAAACTCTGTCTGCATGAGCAACCTTCGCAACAAGGAAGAACAACATCATTGGGACTTATACCTTGTGGATGTTATTTTCTAAAGGACTTTTCAAGTGTTTAGTCGGTTGTTTCAGAAACGTTGTTTATATTCTTTTCATAGCTATCAGTCGCTTATTATAGAATACAGAAGGGTGAAATTAAAACTCTGACTTTATGAGGGAGGCAACAAAGTATCATTAACCTTATGTGTTATTCTTTAGTGTTTTACTTTGCAGATTAAATGTGCAACAGACATATCAAGATGATAGGAATGCATGTGGAACTGCTTTGGTTATACACTTTTTTTTTATCGTGTCAGGAGCGACTTGAGAAACTGCAAGTCACTTCTGGTGTGAGAGAATTGGCCGTCTGCAAGGACGTTGCCCAGGGGATGCCCAGATTATTTGATGTTTTTTATCATCCTTGTGGGAGGCTTCTCTCATGTCCCCACATGAGGAGCGGGAGCCGATAGAGGGAACTCATCCGCCTCTCCCCGGATTCGAACCTGAGACTTGTTGGTCTTCAGTCCTCCCTGCACAGGGGTTTAACCCACTGCACCACAAGCGGCTCCTGGTTACACACTGATGTAGCCCCTTCATTTTAGAGACTCTGTGCATTACTGTTGCATATTGATGTTTTAGCCACATGTCATGACTATTGGTCCATATTTAGTTTTAGTGTAAGAAACATGTAGTGGAAGGAGAGCATAGCTCTTCTGACAATTATTTAAATCATCCTGCAGTAATATAGGGTATTTGAACTTATTTATGGTAAAACCATTGGATCCCCACAAAGAAACAGTTGAAGATCTTAGTACTCATAATTCCAGTGAAAGTCTGATGGGAATGCAGTAGGTTCCTTGTGCTCAACATTGTTAACAGTAGACCATAACTGATTAAAACTAGTCCAAATACCTGTTCATTCACAAATTTCAATATACAACTAATTGCCTCATGACATTAAGGCTTTAATGCGAGCAGCCCCGTTCTTCTTGCATGAACAGAATTCTAGAAAATGTAGTTTGGGAAGGCAAGGACCCCTGTGGCAGAGAATGCAAAAGGCCCCACCCTAAACTACATTTCTCAGAATTCTGCTCACTTCATAATAGTGGTATTGCCTGCATTAAAACCTCAATGTGATGAGGCAATCAGTTACTATTTCTCAGCTTGTCTTGTCTTTTACACGATGCTTAAGTGGATAAAATTGGGGTGAGGATGGAATTGTTCGATCCTTGTATGATGGGAGGAGAGCAATGACCAATCTCGATAAAATAGTGAAGAGTAGAGACATCACACTGGCAATGAAGATTTCCGTAGTTAAAGCAATGATATTCTCTGTAGTAACCTATGGATGTGAGAGCTGGACCATAAGGATGGCTGAGTAAAGGAAGACAGATGCTTTTGAACTGTGGTGTTGGAGGAAAATCTGAGAGTGCCTTGAACCACAAGATCAAACCAGTCCATACTCCAGGAAATAATGCCTGGCTGCTCACTGGAGGGAAGGATATTAGAGGCAAAGATGAAGGACTTTGGCCACATAGTGAGAAGACAGGAAAGCTTGGAGAAGACAATGATGCTGGGGAAAATCGAAGGAAAAAAAGGAAGAGGGGCCGACCAAGGGCAAGATGGATAGATGGTATCCTTGAAGTGACTGGCTTGACTTTGAAGGAGCTGGGGGTGGCAATGGCCAACAGGGAGCTCTGGTGTGGGCTGGTCCATGAGATCACAAAGAATCAGAAGCAACTGAAGGTAAAACAACAATGACAATTTTAATTTTTATCACAAAAATAACAATTTCCCAGAAAAGGCAGTAAAGAGAAGAGTTGTCAGATAACTGGCAAGATCATAATACATGGCTCTATATGAATATGTGCCATTCGGTAGGTTTCAAATTGTACGTTTCTGAATAAGCATTATCTAATTTTTCTGTTTACCATAACTGCTATCCCTTCTGTTTAGAATTGTTTTAGTATCCTTGTCATCTCTGACAATATTATCAACTATCTTCTGTTACAATCAAATGCAGAACATCAATTGTTGAATGCTAATTGCCAAATGAAAAACACTAAATAGCACAGTGTGAGCATTCAGTGGATGACACCATAAAATTGGCCTCCACTTTAAATAAAAGAATGTGGGAGGAATAGAAAATGTCTCGTTAAGGCTTTTATGGTGCTGGAACAGTCTGCCTCTTTCCACAGAGATGAGCATAATCTTAAATATATAAATAATCTTTGAACAGAGTCAGGGATCTGTTTGAAGAGGCAAATAAGAATCAATGCAACTCCCTGCCCAAACCCACAGTATGCTCAATCTTGTTTTTACAAAAGAAAAGGCAGCAATGGAGAGGGGGGAGGTGCCTTACTAGCTATTTTCTTATTAGAAGTTTTATTGCCATTTAAGTTGACATCTGGTAAGAGGCACACTCTCCATTCCAAATGCCACTGCTGTAGCTCTCAAGGATAGAAGATTAGATGGGCTCAACACCATCATACTTTAGGATCTGTTCCTGATGAGAGTCACTCCCTATTCCAGCTGCCACTGCTGTAGCTTGTAAAGGACAGAAGATAGGCCAGACTCAACTCCATCATACTTTAACATCAGCATATCTGAGGAGAGTCACTCCCTATTCCAACTGCCACTGTCATAGTCCCTGAAGAACAGAAGATCAGCCAGGTTCAGCTCCATCATACTTAAGCATCAGTATCTGATGAGAGCCACTCTCCATTCCATTTTGCCACTGCTAAAGATAGGCCAGACTCAACTCCATCATACTTTAACACCAGCATATCTGAGGAGAGTCAATCCCTATTCCAACTGCCACTGCTGTAGCTTGTGAAGGACAGAAGATAGGCCAAACTCAACTCCATCATACTTTAACATCACTATAACTGATGAGAATCACTCTCCATTCCATCTACCATTGGCATAGTCCCTGAAGGACAGAAGATCAACCAGGTTCAGCTCCATCATACTTTAGCATCAGTATCTGATGAGAGTCACTCCCCATTCCATCTACCGCTGTCATAGTCCCTGAAGGACAGAAGATCAGCCAGGTTCAGCTCCATCATACTTTAGCATCAGTATCTGATGAGAGCCACTCTCCATTCCAAACTGCCACTGCTGTAGCTTTTGAAGAACAGAAGATCAGCCAAGCTCAACTCTGCCATGCTTTAGCATTACTATCTGATGAGAGCCATTACTCTTCCAACTGCCACTGCTATAGCTTGTGAAGGACAGAAGATTGTTCAAGCTCAACTCTATCATACTTTAACGTCAGTATCTGATTAGACACCATTCCAATTGCCACTGCTGTCGCTTCTGGAGAACAGAAGAGCATCCAGACTCAATTCCATCATACCTTAGCTACAGCATCTAGTGAGAGGCATTCCCTCCATTCCAGCTGCCACTGTTGCAGCCCCAGAGGGAAAGAAGAGCAGCCGGGGTCCGTCATGTCTTAGCCTCAGCATCTAATGTTCCCCTTTCTTTATGTTTTGTGTCTTGTTTGATTGTAAGCCTGGGGGCAGCAAACTGTCAAATTAATTACTGTATGCAACCCTGCGAACCTTTTTGGCTGAGGGGCAGAGTATAAGGACTCTAAATAAATACATAATAAATTTCTCATATGGGGTAGGCTACACAGGAGATGTCAGAAATATTAATGCTATCTACATGGTGACAGACCTTTCAGTCTGTGCTCCTCGTGACACCACTTTCTTGTATCCTGCCTCCTGCAATCATTCCTGTAAAGTGTGTCAACTGCACCCTTTTTCTGGATGAATTTCCCAGCCAGCTTAGGCAAACATCAAAAATGTTGTCATTCGCTTAAAAACAACGGGTTTATTAAAAACATGAAGTCAGCAATTGGTTCACTCTGCTTCCTTAGATTTTAAGAGGCTTGTTCACAACTACTTTCCTAAGCTTTGC